GCAGCCAACTGGATTTGGCAGGGAAGCTCTGTACAACCATGTAGCACCATGATGGAGGTACAGCCCACGATGTGGCACTGGTGCTGGTGGCCCTGCATCTGCGTCGCTCTCTCAGTAGACTGCCCTCGGTTAAGGCTATCACATAGTCATCTGAAAACAACTGGTGGGACTCAATGAATAAAAATAATTAATGGATCTCAGTTTTATTTTGAGATTTGTGGGTTTTTTTTTTTTTTTTTTGGCAGACTTTTCTCAGGTTTTGTCATTCACTGTTTTCTTTGTATTTCTAAAGAAAATAGTCCTCAATTTTACAGAGGCAAAACCATGACAGTGGGATTTGTCTTTCAATGATAAAACTAGCAAAAAGTGGAACACTTATGATAACCCTGTCTTTGAGAAACATCAGCAATAAGCGCCCCCCTCCAACTTCCAAGAACATGTTGCAGACTGCACATCACGTAACTAAAGGACTGCAATTTTTTCCCTGAGGCTCCCACATTTAACAAAGGGAAACACTACTTTCAACAAAAGATGCTATTCTAGCTATGTGCCCTTTTACCCTGTCAGAGAAACAGCTGGTATCATAAAGTCACAGCTAATTTGTATCATGTCTGCATTAACAGTCAGATTCAGTTTCCATCAGACTTTCAAAGTTGGACTAATACCAGTTGATGGATGACAGCTTTTCTTACCTCCCTTCTCAAAATATATTTAAACACTGCCTCCCCATAACCCCTCACCCATATTCAAAATAGAGGTGGAATGCTTTAACATCTTTCATATAAGAAAAATTCAGGAAAAAAATCAACTAGTAAGTTGAAGGAAAAAAAAAAAACACTAAATAAGAAGGATGAGAAAAATATACCAGAAATTCTGAAGTTATGTGACAAGAAAATAGAGCTGTAAGACAGGCATGTGGGTACCAAGTGTAGTGGAAAAGAATTTTCTCTTAAAAAGGCAGAAAAAAATCACTTGCCTCAGGTGATCTTTTGAAGTTTGGGGTATCTGTTCTCCTAAAAAAAAAAAAAAAAAGTCTGCCTGCCTGCAGAGACTTCAGGGGCTTTTTCAAGGTCAGCATTCAAGCAATTCAAGAAAGACCTTTTTTTTTCCCCTCTCTCTTTAAGGGACCTGTTTCTCATTTACGCTACTAAATGTCATCTACTTTCATTTTAAGATCCCTGAAGCAGAATGCTTGTACTGTGTAAAGGGACTGTGGTGAAAGTGAGAGTCAGGCCAAAGATTTAACAACTCCGAACCCGCAGCACTCGTGTGAGAAACAACTGCAAAGATCAGGCTCTTCTTGGAAAATAGACATAGGGGAATTTCCAGAAATTGGGAGTTCAAACTCAGTTCAGATAAACATCTAAGTGGGCTGATGCACTTCTAAGACTACCCTCCACAGCACCTGAATCTACAGCATTAGCCTGAGACAAGATGTCCTTTGGAGACTTCAGATACTTCCCACTTCCAGATGATCGGAAAGCAAGTTTCTTTCATCCTGTGATCTGAAAACATTACAGTAATGTGTGCAAGGAAAAATCCCCCAAAACCTTGGGAAGTTGTCTCTGTTGTCTTTTTATTAATGCAGCACATTACAATGATTATTGGGGTTTTGAGCAATTGGCCCATCTCACCGAAAACTCTCAGGCTGCTCAATCAACCAACTCCACAAGCAAGTCGCATCTTTGGCAAGCTCAAAGCACCAGGATTTCCATTATAACATGACAGGAGCAGTTATCGGGACTGAGCTGAGGAAGCGTGAAGAATGGGTGAAGCCCAAAGAGTGGTGGCGCCCAGGCTCCCTCTCCCTCGGCGCACGCATTTCCTGCCTTAGAAGGTTAATACCACACAGAAGACAATAAGATACAGCGTCTGCTGTGCCTAAGCTGTGCTTGGCACTGCTCTCCGAAGGGCTGCTTGCCAACTAACGCAGCCAAGGCGCCGCATGCTCCTGCCACATCCTCTCCAGTGAGCTATATCTGCTCCCTACCTACTGGGAAGATGCAGATAATCAACTCCACTCCCCTCACTCTGAGCGCAACAGCAGAGCACTGAGTCTGTCCCTACATATGATCCTTATGCTTATTCCCTTTCTCTCTTTTTTTTTCTTTTTTTTTTTTTTAATCTTTTTGTTTGTTCTTAAACCTCCGTCTGGCAAGGCTTGGTTTATTAGAAGCAGATTGCTCTTCAACCACTCAGTGTGTCAGTTTTACAATTCCTAGGTGGTGTAATTCCTGGAAAATAAAAGATGATCTCCATCCAAAATTTTGGATGAGTCACAGCAGGTTTACATGTTTTGGTTCACCCTTAAATGAAGCGTAAATTTCTATATCTAAAGGATGCTCTGCTTTTCTACATTTCAGCTATTAGCCACATATTTCTTTCAGTCAGTCCTTCACCCACCAATTGAAGCTCAGCAAGCAGTGAAAGGCAGTCATCACATTTTCATGGGACTGTGAATTGTGTCAGGAAGGACAAGCATATTTTTTCTTGAGTTCACTCTGCTGATACACAGCACTTTTTACACTAAATACCCCAAACGGTTGGCCTTAACACCTCTTCAAGAATGCAATGCTACACAAAAATCACCAGGTTCTCATCTCCCACAAGAAAACTTTTACCAGAAACTGCTCCAGCCATAAATAGAGGTCACTCCAAGTCTCAGAACCTGCTGGGAAACTTAGGTTGCTAAATAACAGCCAGGTTCAGCACATCCTCCATGTAACTCACAGAGCCAAGGCAAGATTTGGTACTGCATTGCCTCTTCAGAGCAGCAGCTCAGAGGAAGGGGATCCTACACACATCTTGGTATAAATCATCACAAAAAAATATGTACAGAAATGCTTTCAGTGCTGAGTATTTAGGAGAAGAGCTGACCAAACCCTTTCATACAGAATCCTTCCTAGTGGTGACTATCTTGTCTCCTAACAAAAGATACATTTTGATCATAGATTAATCAATAGTTAACCAGTCATTTTGCACCTTATCCATATAAGGTATCATTGTGTTATGACTGCAATTTATATAAATATGTTTCAGTTTCTCTTCAAAATTCTGACTTGACTATACTCAAGAATCCATAGGCGGTTAGAATTAACAGTTGCAGGTCAGTCATATCAATACCACTAATGCACTTCATATGAAGATTAGGACATGAGCTTTGTTTCCAGTTTTTCATAGATATTTAATTCATTTTTATGCCTTTCCAAATGTATGTATTGATTTACATATTTTGTTTTAATAATTTTCTAGAGGCAAATACTAGCTTTTTGGTAGTACTTTCCTTCATGTGTCTACTTGGCCATTTACAATGAGAAGAGAAGGTTAATTATGGAATGCATTATCAGATTTTGTCCTTTTTCTTTCTTGACAGAATTTTCTCCCATTTCCGTAAGTTCTGTGCAAACACAACAGGTCATATGAGATGAAGCTAGCTTTCTTTTCTCCATTATAAGGTACCAGCTTAGAAGTACACTGAAGCATTGGTGTCAGTTTTGAGCAGTCAGAGAGTCTTGTTGAAATGCCAAATTTTGCATGCTTAAACATGTCCAACACTCTAGCTAGTGATCTGTCAGAAGAACTGATTTCTGAATGTCTCATCCTAGAGCACTTGCATGTCTGATCCATAGGAACCATGGCCTTAATCTCCTTGGCTCAGATTTTTAGGGTATTTAGGTTCATCACAAACATACTAAGGAAGCATATAAGAGTCTAATTCAATGATATCACTTGTAGAAGTGTTTTATGGGAAATTTTATCTTGTTCTGAATCAAAAAGAAATCATAATTCTGTAATATCAAAATTTCCCACAAACTGGAAATCCCAGACTGCATCTGGCTCCAGTCTCAAATACTCCCTAGGAGCGCAAAAGTAATACAGAACTCAGAGCAATCAGGGCAGAGAACAGCCTGCAACAATTATCAGTCCATTCAGCACTTACACGAACCTTCTCAGAAGTGTAGGCAAAGTTTCCCCAAGGACGATGACAAAAACAGCTAAAATGGGCCCAGACCCAGCATTCCTGCCTGGGGGGGAGGCTGCCTGAGATGAAAGGAAATGCAGCCAGCACTCAGCCTCCAGCCCAGTTGCTCTCTTCCTCCACATTGCTCTATAGCCAGAAAGAGGGGAATGGGACAGAGGTACAGAAGAGGGTCAGGCACCCAGACCATGGTCACATGCTAGTGGGAATGAAAAGCTTGCTGTACCCTGAGTTACCTGAGGATGGTAGCATGTAAGGGAGTTACCTTGACTTCAGGGTAGTATTTCTGACCCCATCAGTTCCCTGTCATAAGCGCTGCTTAAACTTAAAGGCAGCCCTCAGTTTGTCTCCATCCTGGAATTTCCATAAACACTGCAAACACTTCTTTTAACTGGTTTGTGAGTCCTTTCGGGGCACTCACTTGTCCTAAAGTTTTCGGAGGGAAGTGGGAGCAAAATGTTTGGAAAAAGTGTCTCTATGCCTTACATGTTGTAAATAGTAAGCATGGTTACTTGGACCTCCCATACTCATGCAGAACCCTCAGAGCCTACTTGCTCTAAAAAGACCAGAAAATTCAATAGTACCACCAGTGCATGAGCTTGAAACAAGTAAATACGATTTAAGTGTATACTGCAAGCAGAAAACTTGCTGAAATCCAAACAGATAGAGCTGTGAGGAAAGGGGGAAAAAAAAAAAAAAAACAGGCATCCACAAAGTAAATATTGTAAAATTCCAAGATTTTGATTTGAAAATAAAATTTAATAAAATTCAAGACAAAAGCTTTTGAATCTGTTATCAGTTCTGAATAAAGTAGTCTATGGTGACAATGACTTTAAAGGAAGAACAATCAAGGGTCTAACTGCTGTCTACCAAAAGCAGAGCTGTCCGTTCTCTATCAGAGGGATTCCAGCCTCCGAAAAGTAAGCAAGCACACAGAATAGAAGAAATGGCCCTATATAAAAAAGCAATATAAAAGGAAAAAAAGAATTCCTTCTGGGGTAAGCACTTTAATCATACTCACAGGGAAGGCAATCAGAGGAAATATTCTGATCCTTTCAGTAACAAAACAGCTGCTGATGGATTCAAAATGATGATGCCAGAAACTAGCGGTGATGACTGTGGAAAAAACAAATAACACTGTTTAGCAATAGTACAGTTATTTCACTTTTTTTTTTTTAAAAAAGCACTACTAATATATACCTTTTGTAAAGTCTTCTTTAGCAAAGCTACTACAAAGATTCTTTTAAAAGAATGGAATAAAATGCATCAAAATTTTGCAAGTAACCAAAAAAAAAACAAAAAAAACCCCCAAAAAAACTCAGAATCAAAACCAAAAGTCTATAAACCTGGAATCTGGCAAAGTATACTGGGATTTCCCACAAGTTCTCAACAGTCTCTCACTAAGACCTCTTCAAGAAGTAAAACTGATACAGGATAAGCAGAACTTTCTCTGGTGATTAGTCAGACACAAAGCAAAGAATCAAACTAGCTTGTGAGTTTCCACAACAGAGCGAAGTTTTCAGTGCAGCTCCCTAAGGATCTGTACTGAGACTTGTATTCAACATATTTAGAAGTGAGAAGTGCTCTACAAAAGCAGATGAAGAGTAAGAACAAAGTATGTAGATGAAAGAAAACAAATTATAATAAAATCCAAACTCAATGTAATGAGTAAAAGACGTCCACAATAATAAATACTCAGGGCAGATTGAATTCAGTGTTCATAAGCAAAATTAAAGGGGAAAAAGTATAACCAGATAAATCTGTACATATGCAGTAATGAAACTCTAAATAAGCCAGTATGACTCCAAGAGTGAAATATATATATATATATGCATTCCTACTTCCTCATTTTTTTGTGTGAAGTTCTGATGACCCTGCCTCAAGAAGCCGCCCAGGGAAGGACTCCAATAATAATCTGGGCTATGGCACAATTCCTAGCTAAGAGGCCTACTTCTATTTGATTAATGCCCATCACTTGATTCTGAACAGGAAGAACTTCAAAACATTGAGATCATGCGCAACAGGGGTTTTATGGGTCTAAAAGGCATTCTCTGCTTCAGAACTGTTTGTTGTACTCCAGTCTCCTCAAGATTTTTTAAAACTAGAGACAAAGACATGAAAGATTCTCCTTTTCTTTCCCACATTGTTACTAATATTCAGGTCACACAATGTCCTTTCCGCTGGTTGTATTCATTCTGTCCTAAAGCAATTTTTTTTTTAATTCAGCTCAACATAATTTATAATATCAATAAAATTACTATAATATGTTCTCTCACTATTTGCTGTCCAAAAGAACTTCCATCACACTGCAATTCCAATGTGAAATGACTACAAAAGGCTAAGAACCAAAGAGGAAATTTCCACACAACTTGACATGAAGGAAGTTCAGGTCCAGGTCGAAATCCAGGCTTCATAAATCTAAACACTCCAATCCAAGAAACATCACAAGGGTTTGGACACATTTTAGCTTGTAATCTTCAATGGTAAAAACTGGCACAAGTTTTACTGACTCTTCTTTCTTTAGAATTCCCCTAACCATAAACATTGGGTTCATATTCTGCTGTCACACACGCAATGCCATTAACAGCATTACAAACACAGCCACACACCCTGCACTGCACATTCAACCACACAATGGAACTAGGTTTCCAGTATCTTTTAACTGCAATTTTAAAAACACAAGTGCTTTTATCAAAAGTTCTTTGTGGCGTAAGTGGTGAAGGAATTTTTTCTATCTTGATTGTGCAGTGAGAAAACCAAAGAATATCCAAGGCCTTCAGAAGGTGACCTCTAACACCTAGTTGGGTCTTTCATTACAAAGGTATATCCATTTGTATATGCACATAGGAACACACATGAAGAGCACGGTTCTCTTTTAGTGAATTTGGATCCATTCACCAGGTAGTTTTCAATGAAAAAAAAAGTTACAAAGTCCAGTTAAAAGATTTATGTGCTGTAGGTAGCCCATTTTATCCACTAATTCAGTAGCTAGGGCCTGGAGATCATTCAGATCTCATCTCTTCCTGAAGGGATTTCAGCCTAGATCTTCTGAAGGTTGCTGTAGCTCTAGGATGTTCTGCTACATTCCTTCCTAACCAAGAGTAAAAGAAAGACTAGACCACATTAGCATGAATGTGCAAATAGTTCTGTATCCTCTGACAGCGACCTATGTTTAGGGTAGAGCCTAAGAATAGGAAAAGCACATAATGATGCTTCCCACAAATACTCTCCCAACTGCCCAGTCACAGCTTGTGACTTCCAGAATGCCTGGAAGGTGGAACGTGCATATTTACTCTTCACCATGGCAGCATTTTTTCCATTAGTATTTCCACTAGCTGTAAACATTCAGTAAAATCCCATAGCAGAAAGATCCACAGTTCACTGAAGTGCTACGAGAAGAAATAGGTCACTTTGGAGAAGTAATTAAACCTTCATATGAATACTGGAACTCAGTGATGCTACTTCCTAGCTGAATATTCAGTCAGCTAATGCATAGTTGGGCAGGGTATGCAAATGGAAAGTGTTTTTAATTGTACCACACGTTAGGAAGCAATCCCAAAATGCTCAACAGCAAGGTGGTTAAGAAGCTCTTATGGAAATAGGACATCTAGATTCCAGTCAAAAGTATGTATTTAATAACCTAAAAAAGTAAAATAACATCGGTAGGAGAGTGGGAGCACAATAAATGACAATTTGAGCATACTTTGGGAAAAGGAGGTAATCCAGTCCCCTGCACTGTGTTAGTGACCTGTATATAAAAGGAGTTCTCCTTTGTCCTTTAAATGCAGAATTTTGTTCCACGCGATGTTTGAGGTTGGCAGGTGCCTCTGGAAATCATCTAGTCCAAGCTCCCTGTTCAACCAGGGTGAGCTAGAGCAAGCTGCTCAGGACCACATCCAGTCAGGTTTTGAATATCTGTGGTGGACACTCCAAAACCTGCACCTCTCTGGAAACTTGTTCCACTGTTTAATCACCTTCATATATTAAAAAAAAAAAAAATCATGATTAAATTGAATTGCCTGTATTTCAATGTGTGTCGACTTCCTCTCGGCTTTCACTGGGTATCACTGAGAAGAATCTGGTTCCATCATCTCTACCCTTCCACAAAGAGTGGCTGTTAACCTGGGATCTCATTCTAGCAGGTTAAAGCTAGGCATTTTTGCCAATAGATTTCAGTAGTGATTCTTGTGAAGATTTTAATTCACAAGAAAAAATATCAATAGAATCAATACTGAAATCTATTGTGAAAATTAAATTTTTTTCACAAGATTTGAAAATGAGAGGAGGAAACCATCTTTAAAAAAGCAGTCTAGGTGAAGTATTTCTTTGTTTATCCAGTTTTGCCATGTAGTTTATTTGTATAAGAAGTTTTTTTCCAGGATTTTTTTTCCAGGATTGCCATGTAGTTTATTTGTATAAGAAGACATTAGAGAGGGAGCATTTTAAAATAAAAGAAAAACAAAAATGAAAAAAAAAAATTGCTTTCCAACTTTGCCTCAAGGGAGCACTTTTAAAAAACCCTTAACTTTTCCCCAGCCGTTCAATCATTTTTAACAAAAGAAGCTTTTATTATGATGTTTGATAGAACCGCCCTAAAAACAGAAGAGGGGCACGAGAAGCCTTGTTTTCACCCACTAACCACAGAAAAAGGGAATTTATTTTCTAAGTTGACCTGAAAAGTGGAGGTGGGCTATCTCCTCATCTGTGAACTGCTCAACTAACTGTTTATGAGCATCTTATCAGCATACAAAATTAGAATTTAAAGTAAATAAAAACATCTATTAATTCCTCTGCAACAATATTTCTGGAAGTTCATTTTTAAAAGTATAGCTATAGGCCATTGACTTCAGATTGAGCACACACTTCCATGCTCTGTTGAACATGGATGGTTTTCTCTCTCTCAGCTCTACTTCCCACATGGCTGCAGCAGTCTCCTAGCTAGCATTTTTTTTGTCAGTGTTACAACTGGGACTGCAGAAATTTTGCCAAAACCCAACATTCTGGGTGTTATACAAGCAACAGGATAAAATGGTAGCTCTTACTTCAAAAGATATTATAAACCAAGTACAAAAGGGATGAATATACATAGTAGAAAATTCTGACACAATAATTCATCTCAATGATTATATCCTATTATGTCATAAATGTTGGTATGCTGTTAATAATTGTTTGGAAAGTTCCAGTGTTATCTTAACATCAGCTAGAGAATGATAGCTTTACTGTGGCTCTGTGATCATCAGGACACAGTCCTTCACACAACTCCTCAATTAAATATTAAATTTTTGAACATGTAGCTAGGTGCATATATCTCTGTTATTTTTCAAATCATATAAAGCACTCAGCCTATTACAGCTGCATCTTTCCATGGTCTCATCTGAGGAGAACCTCAATGACACAGAGAAGTATCAATAAGTACAGATGAATAAGGAAAAAATGAAATGGATGAAAAAGTTCCCCACCTATTTTCTGTTCATGAACCACACAAGCTGCATAATGTAAAGAGCTGATGGTCTTAATAGTCCAGATGTGCTCAGGGTCAGAGGTACCCTAGAGGTACAGAGCTAAAGAGGGAAAGCATGATGTAAGCAGTGCCTCTTCCAGCTCGGATGCAGCCTGTATCGGACATGAGGGGAAGGGAGAGGAAAGGAATCTTTCTCCAACCACTACCCTTTGCATTCCACTTATTGGGGACCCACTGGATCCCAGGTTTAATACACAGCCAACCCAATGGGCATAGCATACACAGAAAACTTCTCCAGGGACAGACTCTGGAGCGCCCTATCCAATCTGCTAAATATCAGTTGGAGTCTATGGGGTCTTTAAAATAAGGCAAGGTAAGCTAATATACATTATGGGAGAGTGAGAAGAAGGAAGCTCTGTCTCTTCCCTCCAGTCATACTAATACACTAGTAAATAACTCATCTGACTTACAAAGCTTCAGGAAATACCAAGCTTCTTCTCAACCCTCTAAAAAATGCCTTACATTGATCTCATCAGTGGAGCACCACAATTCTTTTGTGAAGAGTCATTCCCCTTCAGTGACTCTCTCTTAATAGAGGTGAGAAGCTGCTGATAAAATGATTACCTGAATACAGGCTTTTATTCAACATGTCATG